GTTAAAGAGAGAGAGAGGACCTTGGGGGTATAGTGCACAACTGCAGAATTTCCTCTTGATGGTGGAGGTTCAAATTGTATTACAATGCTCTGACACAATGTCTTCATTAATTCTGGTATCTGTAATGTGTACACAAATCATCTAAGGGTCTTGTTAAAAATACAGTTTCTGGCTGGGTGAGGTGGCTCACTCCTGTAATCCTAGCAGTCTTGGAGGCTGAGGCAGGCAGATTGCTTGGGCTCAGGAGTTTGAGATCAATGCAAGCAAGTGTGAGATCACTGTCTCTACTAAAAATAGAAAAAATTAAATGAGCCAGGAGCCCATCTGTAGTCTCAGCTACTCAGGACACTGAGGCACGAAGAATGCTTGAGCCCAGAAGTTTGAGACTATGGTGAGCTGTGATAACCCCTCTGCACTCTACTCAGGGCATAAGAGTGACATTCTGTCTCCAAAACTAAAACAACAAACCAGCTTCTAATTCAGTAGTTCTGGCTTCTAGGTGGGGGCTGAGGTTCTGCATTTCAAACAGTATCTCAGGTTATGTATTAAAATCATAAGATATTCTCTTTCTGGGCCCCCCCTTTTTTTTTTGAGACAGAATCTCACTCTGTCGCCCAGGCTAGAGTACTCTGGTGTCATAACTTACAGCAACCTCAAATTTTTGAGCTCAAGCATTCCTCCTGCCTCAGCCTTCTGAGTAGGTGGGACTAAAGTTGCCTACAACAACAACACTGGATTAGTATTTCTATTTTTAATAGAAATGGGGTCTTGCTCTTGCCTAGTCTGGTCTTGAACTCCTGATGAACTGTAACCTCCTGCCTTGGCCTCCCATCAAGCCACCACAATAGCCCTCCAGTTCTTTTTTTTTTTTTAGACAGAGTCTCATTATGTCGTCCTTGGTAGAGTGCTGTGGCATCACAGCTCACAGCAACCTCCAACTCTTGGGCTTAAGCAGTTCTCTTACCTCAGCCTCCTAAGTAGCTGGGACTACAGTTGCTCATCACAATACCCAGCTGTTTTTTTGTTGTAGTTGTTATTGTTGTTTGGAAGGCCTGAGGTAGGTTCGAATCCACCAGCCTCGGTGTATGTGGCTGGCACCCTACCGCTACAGCACCATCTTAGCCTCCAGTTAATTCTAAAAGCTCTTTAAAAAACACATGATTAATTTCTGACTTGTTTTCCTTTTTTTTTTTTTTTTTTTTTT